CTTTCCATTACATCTGTTTGGCTAAGATTATTTTGTTTGAGTTTTGCTGTGAGTTGATCTGCCTCTTCCCCTGAGGAGAGTAATAATAATAAAAACTGCAATGTATGTGCAGATTTAATGTTCCGGGTATAATGCTAATTGTTTTTGGATGTTCTTGTTGCTGTCGTTGTCACTCCCTTATTTTAGCTGCTCAAATGCACCTTTAACACTTGAAAACTGCCTGTAGCTACCAGAGTCTGGTCCGTGGCTAGCTGCACCACCACTTCTTTTACCCAGGTGCAATTTTCCAAAGAGGCCGTGACCATTGCATTTTCCCTAGCTTTGATTGATCTGATTGATACGTATTTGTAAATACTCTGTTGTACCCACTGGAAGTTCTTCAACTTAATACAAGAGTTGGCCACGAAGGATAAATTTCTGACTGAAAAAATTGTGAAAGGACTATCTTTATAGATGTACAAGTAATATACACATGCAAATATGCAGCGTGTTTAAATTGTATTTTTAGAAAGTATATAAATATATATATATATATATATATATATATCATTTGGGAGTTGAGCGCTCTCTGAAATACATTCAACTCAAGTTGAAGAGTTTATATAAATGAAAACCCTCATTAAAATCTGACCATCAGGAATTGTGCTTTTGGCAAGGCTTCTTTTAGAATGAAGCTCAAAAAACTTTGTGATATGTGATGTGGTTATACAATGCAAAGTCAACGCAGCCCTCAGGTACATTACCTCAGGCAAAGTCACGATATCGCTGCTCTCTTCAACAGGTTTGTCAGTAACAATTTTGTTAGCCAGCAGCGGAAGATGTAAAATTCCGGGAACTTTGCTAGTAATATCCAGAGGGGCTTACTCACTCTCTTTCCATTTCATCTAAAAACAATTATTACGTTCTTCGAACACAAAGATACATATTTCTTTACACATTACAAAAACAATAGTCGTTTATCGTCCTCTTGATACTTGATTACTGTTAGCTACTTTACATACTTCACTTTCTTTGCATACAATAACTACCAATTCTGAGCACTCTATAGGAGTTAGGCCCTGTTTCTTCATAGCAGGCCCCCAGCTGAGTTTTTGTTTCTCAAAAATAATGTGCCCATGCCGGTTACATTTCGCACATCCTCAGGAATGACCATTCATCTTTTGTTTCACTACCCTTCGCTGCATTCAGGCAAATATAAATGAGCAAATACTTATAGTTGTTCTGGAAGTCAAAGTCTTGCTAAAAGAATTGGGTCGCTTTGAGAAAGCAGTCACAGGACCACTGACAGGGTATAGGTAGTAATACTTCCCTCTCACATCATTGCCAGAGACTTCCTCTCTGTGAACTTTATATATATCTGATAGAAGGTTTTCTTTCAAAGTTTGTGGGTAGCCTCTGTCAACCATAGTTTCTGAGGAGCTTGTTTGTAGGATTCTCAAGGCTTCTCCTTTGACAAATCCATTTTAACACTACGCGGTTGACAAGAGGTGAAATGTGTGCCCCAAACTGTATACGTTTGATCCCGCCAAAGTAAATGAATAAACAAACCCACCTAAAACAACTGTTAATCATCGTGGTAGCTCGTGTCCTCAAGTTTTCTCTTCACGACCTAAAAATATCAGCTGCTCATAGTTTACTGCGCAGTCTACATTCTATTATGCATTGAATCATTACATCACGCAATCAATCATTGGGCATTACTGTGTCTCCAGGAATGAGGTATATGGCCACTCACATTAACTTCTATCCTTTAAGTTTGTATTGCGCTCTGCATTCTTTATGCATTTAGCACTCCTATTATAAGTGTACATAAGTGAATGTGTACATTTTTTTGTTCATTTTAAATTATAGAAGGTGTATAATCGAGAGAAAAGTCACTTCCTTGCTTTTCCACGTACCCACTTTTACTCTTTGCTTACTCGTTGTCAGATCTACCTCTCCCTGTAGGCAAGATCATGAAAGGACAAATGTGTGTGTGTGTCTGTGTCTATGTTAAATCCCCTGAAGAAGAATGGCTTGTCCGTCCGAAATATCGGGAAACTTCAAGTTGCTTTTCTCTTTGCTGTTTTGTTATTTATGTCTATATATTTGTGTGTTCCATCACTGGCATTAAGTGGCTTTGGTTTTGTGAAGGTTTACATGGATTTGCCACTAAGAATCAACAAACCCAAACAAAAAGAGGGTATATTACATTGTTACAGACTGGAGATCACTTGTAATGATTCACGCAATAGCACTAGACCTAGTATATAACAGGAAAAGTAAAAATGATCATGATCATGATCATGACAGTAACAATAATAATAATGATAAGAAGAAGAAGAAGAAAAACAAGTAGAAGAAGAAGAAGAAGAAGAAAAGGAAAAAGAAAGAGCTAATACCTGGTGTGAAGAGAAGCCGGAGAGAGTGGTGGAAAGTGAAAACTTCAAGATACTGAGGGATTTCACAGTCCAGTGTGATCGGAAAATTGAGGCAAGAAGACAAGAAGGAGAGAGAGGTT